AAGGAAGGAAGGAAGGAAGGAAGGAAGGAAGGAAGGAAGGAAGGAAGGAAGGAAGGAAGGAAGGAAGGGAGAAAAAGAAAGAGTGGGGAGAGAATTTCACAAAGGAAGACATGTCCAGTGTCAAGCTTGACAGTATCGAGTGCTGCAGTGAGATCAAGGAAGAGAAGAAATGGAAAAAGACCATTGCATTTGATGTTTAAAGAAGTCACTGTACATCACCTAAGAAGTAATCATACTAAAACGAATCAAGCCTGTAGATCCAACTACCACTTCACAGGAAGTACACAGGAAAGAGGAACCTGTTAAATGATACCAAGTGATGTAATCAGCAAAGTCCTGATCGTAGTCAACACTACAGGACAAGGCCTAGTTTCTTCACCAAACATATTGCAAGAAAAAAGGAGGGAGGACCTATATATTGAAAGAAACTTAAGAGACATACCAACCAATTTCAATCTGTGGGCCTTACTTGGATCCTGATCCAAACAAGCTAAATATTTTTAAATTATGGCATTTATGAAATAATAGGATATTTGGACACTGAATATATTAAGGAATTACTGTTGATTTTTAAAAATATGATATTAGGACATGGAATTGTGGTTATGTTAATAAAATAATCCTTATTTTTCAGAGACACATATGATATATTTAGAGATGAAATAATATGATGTCTGAAATTTGCTTTAAAATAATCCCTGGGAGGAGGGGTAATGATGAAACAAGTTAGCCAGGTATTGATCATTATTGAAGCTAAATGGATGAGTACATCGGGTTTCATTATGCTATTGTTTGAAAATTTACCTGATAAGTTTTTCTTTAAAAAAATATGGATTACCACTGGAGTTGGGGGAGGAAAGATGGAATATTCAGGGAAGAGGATATTGGAGGCTTCAAATATAAAGTTAATATTTTACGTCTTAAATGGAGTAAAAGAACACAAGTATAATGTAAGTATATCTTATATTTCATTCTATATAGTCAACAAATATTTCATAAATATATCATTGCATTTACTCAGTATTTATAAAACCCTAAAGGAAGAAGGGAAAGAAGAAATGAAGGGATGGAGAGAGGGAGGGAGGAAAGGAAAAAGGAAGGAAGGAAGGAAGGAAGGAAGGAAGGAAGGAAGGAAGGAAGGAAGGAAGGTCAGGATAAGGTGGCTTACTTTTGAGCCAGGAGGGCAGTGATAAGTGAAGATTAAGATTTGGGTCATTATGATAATCCCATTTACTTGTGATAGGTACTTGCAGCTCAAGAGTGCAGGGTAGGCTGGCTGCAGTGGCTCACACCTGTAATACCAGCACTTTGAGAGGCCAAGGCTAGCTGATCACTGGAGCCCAGGAGTTTGAGACTGGCCTGGGCAGCATGGAGAAACCCTGTCTCTACTAAAAATAGAAAAATCAGCCAGGCATGGTGGCACATGCCTGTAGTCCCAGCAACTTGGAGGCTGAGGTTGGAGGATTGCTTGAGCCTGGGGCTAGGGGGCTGGCATTCAGAGCCGCAGTGAGCCAAGATGGTGGCACTGCACTCCAGCCTGTGCCACAGAACAAGACCTTGTCTTAAAAAAAAAAAAAAAAAAAAGTGCAAGGTGCAGGACTCCTCACAGATTCCCATATCAATGACCACTCTCCCAGCTCATTTAGTATGGCTTTCCATGTATTTTTCTACCCAAATAAATAAAAGCCTCAATTCTCAAAACTATTTGTCTCTGCTGTGAGTTTAAAAGTCTATTTTAAAACTCAAAACTGAGAACAGTCTACTTCTTTCTCTTTGTATTCCTGCTACAGCAATCCTATTTATTTCGGGAGCAATGGTTGCCTCCTACACAGGGATTTATATAGAAAAATGTGTCATAAATGGTCCATTGGTACTCAGCAACTTTTGAGGGTCTTTCAGTAAGTCTATTATGAGTAGGTTGGGGCAAAGAACTCACTGAGCTACAAACCAAAGAGATACAGATACACAGGTAGATATATATTCATTTCAATAGCTTTTAATTAAATCAGCAATAAAATAAAAACATGCACTTCAGGCTGAGGGTTATGCGATGTTTTCCTTGTGGAGAAAATAAAGTACAATTTAAATGTGTATGCCAGGCAGCATCTAATTGGAACATAAATTCTTTTCTTCAGACTTCAATGGAGGTTTCTATTAATAAGGATCTGAGAGAACTTATCTGATGACTTAAATGTCACATTTGCATTTTATGAAATTCAGAGAAAAAAGAAAATGTGGATCAGCATCTGTTGTGAGTTCTTTGCCAAAACGTGCAGCCTGCCAACTGTCCCCTTCACTTTTCTGTCTTCCTGGCTGCACTAGGGGAACACGGTGACTCTACAGGGCTGCCCCCACCTACAGAACGCAGGGCCTATAGAATCACTAAACTTGAGAGTTTTTCGGGGACTGCACAGTCAAGACCCAGAAAGAAACATCACCGTATTTCTTTTTCCCAAAGCACTTGTCCACCGTCCTCTCTGATAGAGACCTCTTGTTGCCGAGGAAGACTCCATTAAAGAAGCACTGCTTTCCGACGTGGTAAGTGTGGATGTTGCTGCTAAACCTCGGGTAAAACGTCCACTCAGGACGATGCCCATCTTCTGCAAGACACCAGAAAGCCTTCCATTAGTGCTGCTCCCAGCCTCATAATGCAACTGGATGACAAAAAGCGGTGAAAACTCCGCAGGCACTATCTGGCTATACAACTTTAATTAATGTGTATAATCCCTTGGTTCTACATCAGAGACAGTGTGAAACTCTGTGGGACTAGACACAAAAGGAAGGGAAGTGGGGGGAGAGCTACCTAAGAGGCCTTCTTTGTTTTTGTTTGCTTGTTTGCCCTCTTCATCCTCTCCTTCAAAAATAAAGCCAACTTTATGTTTGGCAGTTAAGTATTGGTTGGGAAGCTCACATACAGTCTTCCAAGTACCTATGATACAATCTTCCCTCTGATAACTGTGTAGGAAAAATAGAATGCCATCAACCAGCAAATGGTTAGGCCAGTGCCATCCACATGGCACCTCAAGTGGATGAAACATGGTATTGGCTGCAACAATAGCACGCACATGCGCTACGGTGACACTGGGAAATGTACCTGTGATAATTTCAAATGAGAAAAGCTTCCGTGAGACCTCAGGCTAGTTTCTGGACCTTGCAATGCCTTTGTTTTATCATCTGATACTTTTCCTGTAAGATTGCTAACAGTGACTTTAAACAATAAAAGATCCCCTAGCAGTTCTAGGGATGCTTGAGAAATGTGGGCTTTGGGATAGCCAAGAAGAGCATAGGATTTGAGGCAAGCAAGTTTGGGTTCTGATCCCATCGCTCTACTTCCTGGCCATGTGGCTTTATGGATGACTGAATGTCTCAAAGCCTCAGTTTCCTCCTCTGTAAAATGGGTATGTCTATATTAGCCACATAGATCTGTATGTATTGGCACAGAAAGAGGTCTATGATCTATTTATGCCAGTTTGTATACTAACCCATTTATTTTACATCTATATATGTACACGTGTGTGTATATACACACACACATATACATTTCAAAGTACAGGAAAAATATATATCAACTCTTCACGGCTATGAGGCAGAATAGGGATATTGTTGGAAAACATTGGGGAAGGGTTTTTATACTCTATATACTTCTATATTATTTTAATGTCTTTCTGCAGTATTTTAATGGGTTTTATATAAAGGCATTGTATTTTTGAAAAACATATAATAGCTTCCTGGCAGAAGTGTTGTGAATTTTGAGATAAAGTATGTCAAATGCTTGACAGTTGTGGGCCTTCAGTGATGGTGGTCAACAGTATGGTAGACTTCTGAAAAGACCTGGGGCACAGAGGCATGTGGAGGAGGGTCTGTGACTTACTTGTCTGCAACTTAAGCAGGCTGAATTCCTCAGGATACTTATCCTTTTGGACTTGAGGCAGTGACATTTCCGAGGAGTGACCAGAATGTGAGGAGGAGGGTTTCTGATCCAAGTCAGCAGTGGTGCTGGAAAGAAAGCAGAAGGATTCTTCCACGTGTTTAAACTGGTAGTTACAGCCTGATCTCACATAGTTTACCCTAGAATTGCCCTCGCTTGTGAGAACTGGGACTACTCATCTATAAAAAGTCCTTGAGCATATCATTTATGTATTCACAATTTAAGGGGACTGAAACTTATTGAAAAGATGGGCATTCAGTGGCTCACGCCTGTAATCCCAAAACCTTGGGAGGCTGAGGCAGGTGGATCACTTGAGGCCAGGAGTTTGAGACCAGACTGAACAACATAGTGAGATCCCATCTCTACTGATTTTTTTAAAGTGTTTAAAAATAATTTGGTGATTCCTCAAAAAGTTGAACATAGAAATACCGCAAGACTCAGCAATTCTCTTTCTAGGTATACACCTAAAAGAACTGAAAACAGAGATTCAAACAGATACTTGCATGTGAATGTTCTTTGCCGCATTATTTATAATAGCCAAAATGAAAACAAGCCAAGTGTTCATAAAGAGAAGAATGGATAAGCAAAATGTGGTACATAATACGTACCATTGAATATTATTCAGCCTTAAAAATTAATGAAGTGGCTAGGCATGGTGGCTTCTGCCTGTAATCCTAACACTTTGGAACGCTGAGGTATATGGATCACTTGAGCTCAGGAGTTCAAGACCAGCCTGGGCAACATGGAGAAACCCCCTCACTACTAAAAATACAAAAATTAGCCAGGCATGGTAGTGTATGCCTATAATCCCAGCTACTCAGGAGACTGAGGCAGGAGAATTGCTTAAACCCAGAAAGTAGAGGCTGCAGAGATCTCGCCACTGCACTCCAGCCTGGGCAACAAAGTGAGATCCTGTCTCAAAAATATAAGAAAAAAATAAAGGAATGAAGTAGTGATGCATGCTAAAACATGGTGAGCCTTGAAAACGTTATGCTAAGTAAAATAAGCCAGACACAAAAGGACAAATATTATGTGATTCCACTTATATGAAATATCTAGAATAGGTAATTTCATAGAAAGTAGATTACAGGTTACCAGGGGCTGAGGAGAGGGGAGAATGGCAAGTTATTGCTATATGGTCATAGAGTTTCCGTTTGGAGTGATGAAAATGGCTGAAAATAGACAATGGTGATGGTTACACAACACTATGAGTGTAATTAATGCCATTGAATTGTACACTTAAAATGGATAAAATCAGGCAGGCAGTACTTCGGGAGGCCAAGATAGGAGGATCACTTAAGCCCAGGTGTTTGAGACCAGCCTGGGCAAAATACTGAGACCTCATCTCTACAAAAAAAATTTTAATTAGCCAGGTGTGGTGGTGCACACCTGTAGTTCTAGCTACTTGGGAGGCTGAGGAGGGAGGATCACTTGAGCCCAGGAAGTGGAGGCTGCAGTGGCAGTGACTATGCCACTGCACTCCAGCCTGGGCTACAGAGTGAAATCCCATCTCTTTAAAAACGTTTTTTTAATGGATAAAATGGCAACTGTTGTGCCATATATATTTTACCACAATTTTTAGAAAGGAATGATATATATTACAACATGTATGCACCTTGAAAGCATTATGCTAAGTGAAAGAAGCCAGACACCAAAGACCACATATTGATAATTCCATTAATATTACATGTCTGAAACAGGCAAATCTATAGAGACAAAAAGTAAATTAATGGTTGTCTCAGACTAGAGGGACAGAAAGATGGGGGTGCGGGGCAATGATTGCTAAAGGGTATGGATTTCTTTTTGTGGTGATGAGAATGTTCTAAAATTGATTGTGGTGATAGTTGCACAACTTTACAAATACATTAAAAGCCATCAAGTTGTGTACACACTTTAAGTGGGTGACTTTTATGGTATGTGAATTATGTTTAAATAAATCTGTTACCAAAAAGGCATGTTTAATAAAACCATTAAATGTAAATAAAAAATCAATAAGTATATAGAGAAGATGAATAAATAATCAAAAACAAACCTAGACTGAAATGATTACAATAATAGAGCATTATGTTTAGCGCTGAACTTCCTAGCAGTTTATAAAGACCCACAACAAACTTTTATAGGTGTCAGCAGAAAATGCAATCATTTCTGGTTTAAATGGCTTTGTGTCTGAGACCTGGCCTTGGACAGTGTTTTCAGGTACAATGATCTGTTATCAAGTCAAAGGATCTTTTTTCATAACAATGCATCACTCATATTTAAATGGCATCAAAGCAACTTCATATTGCTCGTCTTGTCTGCTCCCTGCTAACAATCCTGTGATGTAGGTAGGACCAATAACTCAGTGCCCCCACCCCTATTTCAGAAGATAAGCAATTTTGGAGGTGTGTTAGTTTCCATCACGAGAGTACAGTTGAGGACAACTGGAATTGGGGTTCAATGTCTCAGAACTGTCACTCTCTTTTGCTTATCCTGACACCTTGGCTTCATTTTTGCCAATTGCAGATGAGCTTCTTCACAAGAGCAAAAAGGCCACTGACAGCCCAGATTCAAATTCTCATGTCTTCCAACCAATTTTTGCCCCTATTTCCTATGTGAAAAATTTCAGGGAAGAACTCACTGGCTCAGCTTAGATCACACGTTCTCCCTTAAATCAATCACAATCAGGAAGTGGAGACAAGTAAGATGATGGTAGCTCCTATTCAGAATACTCATTAAAACTGGGTAGGCAGGAGTTTGAGACCAGCCAGGGAAACATAGCAAGACCTTGTGTTAAAATATTTAAAAACTGGGTAGGGAAGGGCCGGGCATGGTGGCTCACACCTGTAATCCCAACACTTCGGGAGGCCGAGGTGGGTGGATCACCTGAGGTCAGGGGTTCGAGACTAGCCTGGCCAACATAGTGAAACCCCGACTCTACTGAAAACACAAAATTAGCCAGGTGTGGTGGCATGCACCTGTAATCCCAGCTATTCAGGAGGCTGAGGAGGAGGAATCACTTGAACCCAGGAGGCCAAGTTTCCATTGAGCTGAGATGGTGCCATTGCACTCCGACCGGGACAACAGGAGAGTGAAATTCCATCTAAAAAAAAAAAAAAAACTTGGTAAGGAAGGAGTGAAAATCAATTCCCCAGAAAAAGGAGAATAGCATAGATGACGCCACTGGAAAGTCAGTGGAAGCCGAGCAGCTTCTACAATATGTGCACACAGCAAGCCATTGGAGAAAGCCACTTCAAGCAAAGGAGGCAATGTAAGCAAAAGCATAGAAGGAAGAAACATCAGGGAAATTACGACATTTGATGTGGTTGTGGCAGGAGTATTGGAGATAAAACTGGAGAAGAGAAGGAGACAGATCTGGAGAATTTGCAGTTCATATGAGGGGGGACTCTTTTTTATCAAGCTTTAATGGGATATCATTAAATAATAGTAAGCAAGACCATGACATGGTCACATGTGGTTAGAAAACTCTAGAAGCTATAAAAGGAATGAACTTTGAGAATATAAAACTTAAGTCAGGGAATCCATTTAGGAGAGTGTAGCAGGCAGCCTCTGACATGGCTGCCAATGATCTCTGCCTCTTGGCATTTATTCCCTCCTGTAATCTTCTCCCTTTGAGTATAGGCTAGACCTACTGACTCACTTTCAACAAAGAGAAAATAGTAAATGTTATGGGATGTCACTTCCCAGGTTAGGTTACAAAGAGACTGTGGCTTTTTCTTGTGTGCACTCCTGCTTGCTCGTGAGGAGAGACAGCTGTTATGTTGTGAGTTGCCCTCTGTAGAGACAAGGAACTGAGGGAAGCCTGTGGCCAACAGCCAGTAGAGAACTGAACTATCAGCCCCAGCAGCCTGTGAGGAAGTGAATCCTGCCACCAACCATATGAGTGAGCTTGGAAATGGATCCACACCCCCCGCAGTTGAGCCTTCAGATAAGTCCACAGCTCTGGCCAACACCTTGACTGCAATCTTGTGAGACAGACCTCGAGCCAGAGGCACCCACCTAGGTTATACTCAGATTCCTGACCTGTAGAAAATGTGAGATAATAAATGTTTGTTGTTTTAAGTCACTAAGTTAGGGTGACTTGTTGTGCACCAATAAATAACTAATCAAGAAGGTATTACAGTGGTCCAGGTGAGAGATGATCAGGGCCTTGAGTGGGACCACGGTAATACAGATGGAGTAGAAGAGATAGACTTACATGGTGTTTCAGGGCTTGATCCCCAGTTGGATGAGCTGGAGGAGACAAGTATGACCTGTCAATCTATACCTTTGGGGCTGTATGAATACCGATATTATCAACTGAGACAAGGAACACAGAAGGATTTGATTTGTGAGGATGGGTGATGAGAAGTTCAGTCAAGGCACGTTGAGTTTGGAGGCCTGTGGGACATCAGGTGGAGATATCTAGAAAGCAGTTCAATTTATCAATCCAAAGCCTGAGGCTATGTCTAGACTGGAGCTTTAGATTTGGCTACACACGCTTTGACTGAGTTAGGTGCTCCATAACCCAGGTATCATGAGCGATAAAGGGGACTTATTTAGGTGGGAATTAGGAATGCAGAACTGGCAGCAATCACCCAGTTCCCCATCCTACAGGATGTGAACTTCACAGTCTGGGCTTTCTTTCCCTCCCAATACATGGACCCACTGCTGCTGCTAGTGGTATGCATCTGTTGCAGAGGACCGAAAGAGGCAGAGCTTAAGGATTATGCCAGTCTCTTCCATGTCTAGTGCTGGGGGCAGCAAGTCCACTTGGAGCAGATTTTATTATATAAAGAATCACTTGAGCAACTTCCCTTAACTTTGACTGAATAAATCCACTTCTAGGAATTTACTTTTATAATATAACCGGAGATGGGCAAAAGCCGAATGTAGAGGGATATGCATTACAGCACTATTTACAATAGCAACTCTTTAAAACTATAGGTCACTGGTTAGATTGTGGTCTATTCATCTGACATT